TCTTCAGCTGAGGACAGTTAGCCTTTAGCCTCTAGCTGATTCAGCTCTGTTGATAACCTTTCTTCAGCTGAGGACAGTTAGCCTTTAGCCTCTAGCTGATTCAGCTCTGTTGATAAACTGAAATGAATAAATAAAGCTGTAAACAGCTGATCGGCTTTGAACTTCCTGTGTGGTTAAACTTCCTGTTTCACACAGGAAACAGGAAGTGCGCACTTCTCACAGATGCCTTCATGGGCTGAGAACAGGACTGGACCCTCTTTAGAACCAGTCCATCCTGGTCTCAGGGTCTATCAGAGCTGTTCCTGGCACAGACCTGGACTCGGACCCTGCTGGTCCTGGTCCTGGACTCACCGCAGCGTACAGATGTACTGGCCCGTGTCTTCGGCGGTGGCGGGCTGCAGCCACAGCCTCTCTCGGTCTCTGCTGAGGCGGGAGCTGCAGAGCAACGACAAATCAGAGACGGGCTCATCAGAACCAAGCCAACACCAGCCCCGCCCCTGAGGCTCTGAAGCATCAGCACCTGTACCTGGTCTGGTCTTCATGGTTACCTGTAGGTGATGGGCTGCTCCAGGTCCTGGCCCTCCAGGAGGCGGTACCAGAACAGGTTGTGTCCGGCGCTCTGAGTGGACGAGTAGTTGTAGACGGACGGGTGGGAGAACAGAGGACAGGACAGCCAGCCGGCCTCGCCTTCCAGAACCGAGACAGACCCCCCGCTGGACTCCCCCCAGTCCAGACACGTGGGCTCTGAAGGACGGGGACAACAGGGACAGGGACATGTAGGATCTGGTGAGTTTGGACGAATCCATCTTCTAAATGAGCTCAAACTAATTAATTAAACTGATGGTTTCAACACGGAGCCAAGGAGCCCATCTGTCAGTGGGATTAGAACCAACAACCTTCCAGAATTAGAGAACCACTGCTGCTCTTTGGATTTCAGTGCCTCTTTTGAGGAAAACTTTACAATAATTTCACTCTGAACTGTAATCAGGGCTCCTACAGTTTAAAGCAGTTCAGTTTAAGACGTTTTAACGCCAAGTGAAATCAAATTTAAGACCAATTTCACAATAAACTCAAATGACAAAAGAATAAAAACTGGCAGAAACTCATGAATCTCTGTATTTTTGGTTGAAGTATTCAAATATTGTTAATAGACCACTTGTTTTTATCCAGATCGAACTATAGCAGAAACATCAGCAGACAGTTTGAAGCTCCTGGAAATCCTCTAACGACCTGAAATTWGGAGTTTTAGGACCCAAAATGGGGTCTTAACCCCAATTACAGTAGCTGTAGATAAAACCTTAAAGTACCTGAGATGTAAGAAAAGTGAACGTATTTTTGGAAAGACACCATTATTTAATTAATACAAAACAAATTTCACACTGCTCACATGGACAGTTGTTGAGATCTTTGCATGTGAAATAACAGGAAGTGATGTCAAAGAGGAATGTCTGCATGTGAACGTTTAAAAAGTAAAGGTTAATTATTTTAATATTTGAGACAGATTACAGTCATCCTAAGTACAATGTGTTAACATCTTTAAGACTTCTGAAAGATTGATTTAAGACATCCGTCCATCTTCTTCCTCTTATCCAGGGTCAGGTCTCAGGGGCAGCAGCCTCAGCAGAGACCCAGACCTCCC